CTGCTAGCGAATTCAATCGGCAGGAATTGGTGGAGTGTTTCTGCACTCAATAAGCCTGTTCGTTTGTGTTTGCTCTACCTGCTAACCTTCTTTTCTGTTTACATCACGCCAGAAAACAAAATCAACTTCATCAAGTTCATCAACACAATCGAACAGACCTAATGTATATGTTTCCTTTTTACTCGCATCTGTCAAACAGAGTTAACTATACACAAGACACATATTATAAAATCTCAAAAGGAAGAAGCTATAAAAGTTGCCCTGACCGTAAAAGATGTCCTATTCGCGAGATTCACGAAGTGGGCGACATCTAGGTTACATAATACGAACTTCTAACTGGGGGAAAACAAACTGTTGTCTATGGATAAAGTACATAGAGTACATTGCATTCAGCTTGCTGTAGCTGTAGTCAAACTTGTCAATAACATAAAGTGTTGGCACTGTTGGTAGTGATCATGGTTGTGTTGGTTAATTTTTTTACATTATTACATTTTTATTAGTTTAGTGAACAGTGAGCGGGTGAATTGGAGATAGTTCGAACAATTCAAACTAATTATGACGAGCAAATCAATTGACATATAAAAGAAGCGCTAAAACATGTTTACCATACCCAGATTGTCCTGCTTTGCATGAACAAATAAAAATCCATTGTTCTATAGTTCATCTGGACCCCAACTTCAATTTTACTTCATGTGGGGAAGATTTCATCACCGAAGTTTGTAGACAAAGTGCAAAAATGCGCCTTTTGTTTAAGTCTTCTGCCTCAAACAAAATCACATGATTAGCACAGAGAACTGCTTCTCCTTCCACTACTGGTCGGCTTTTTCTATAGAAATAGAGCAAAATATCTGCAAAAAAACATCTACAACAGGCATTATTAGCGTTTTCGATCGAATATTGACATCAGTACACAGTACACAAGCTAATGGCACTAATGGGATTGAGTCAATTGAGTGAGGATTGAGTTTGTTTTCCCCCAGTTTTGACGTGGCTTTGACATGGAACGATGAAAACCGAGCGCCACCTGGTAACATTGATTCCCGCGAATATGAATTACATGAAAACTATTCATCATTCATCGTTATTCAAGGTGCCAAACAGCCCGTGTGCGAGCTGTGCCCTAACTCGGGCGGCATCTTCAAGGAAACCGACGTGGGCAAATGGGTGCACCTGGTGTGTGCCCTCTACGTGCCTGGTGTGGCTTTCGGCGAGGTGGACAAGCTGACCAGCGTGACGCTGTTCGAGATGCCGTACAGCAAGTGGGGCGCCAAAAGCAAAATAAGTCCATAAGACAATATTGACTCTATTGACTGTATGCAATTCTCGAAACATTAATCGATATAGTGTTTTTTGATTGTCTAATGAAACAAACAGAACAACTTGAATTGCAGACTATGCTGTCAATATGTCAAAAATGGAATGGGACCAACTTCTTATATTGAGTGCCCATTTAATTCCGTCAAACCCCTGGAATTCTGGCTAGTATTTTTCGTTATGATTGTAGGATTTTCTTGATGTATCTAGGATGTTATAGGTTAAGATTCTTGATCTATCAAGAGGAAAAGGATAATTTATCACTCTATGCTTTTTGATGGTTTCAACAAACAGATGACATTATATACATATATCAGTGGTCGGTTGGAAATAACTGAAGATCTGATACAAAGTACATAAGACTGGTGACACTACATACACATTCCAAAGGTTATCAACATCGTCTACAAGCAGTATCAAAGCTGCAGCTCGACTACTTTTTTTTCTTCTTTTGGGTCGTTTATGGTAATTTATTTCAGTTATTGCGATACGTTTTTCTTCACTAATACTTTTTATATATTATACAAATAGTATATAAAGTATAATTAATTTTCTAGTAGGAATGAGATGAATGATCAGACAGTAATTCCTGTTATGAAATCATTCATAAAGTATTATCGACTGTTGGTATAATTGAAATTACAAATAGTGAACAAAACTCACATTTCATTGAGTTATTTGAAAATAACAGTACTCATATCGTGAACAAGAAGGGAGAAAAAGAAAAAGGAAATTCGTGAAGTCTGTCAGCTTTGATCGTTCCTTTGCATCAGAATATATTTCTTCACATTATTTTTGAATTGTTAAATATTTGGGCTGTTTTTGATATGAATATTGAAATCTTCTAAAATCGTCTACCGTCTTGAGACACGACTAATCAAAACGAAGGTCTTTTTCAGTCCTTGTTGCTCAGCAAAAATATCCCAATCCCAATCAACCGACATAGTTCCCATAGAAACAATAATTATACTAACACTGCTAGCGAATTCAATCGGCAGGAATTGGTGGAGTGTTTCTGCACTCAATAGGCCTGTTCGTTTGTGTTTGCCCTACCTGCTAAACTTGTTTTTTTCTACGACTTTCTCTGTTTACATCACGCCAGAGAACAAAATCAACTTCATCATGTTCAGCAACACAATCGAACAGACCTAATGTATATGTTTCCTTCTTACTCGCATCTGTCAAACAGAGTTAACTATACACAAGATACATATTATAAAATCTCAAAAAGGACAAGCTATAAAAGTTGCCCTGACCGTAAAAGATGTCCTATTCGCGAGATTCACGAAGTGGGCGACATCTAGGTTACAAAATACGAACTTCTCACCGGGGGAAAACAAACTGTTGTCTATGGATAAAGTGCATAGACTATATTGCATTCAGCTTGCTGTAGCTGTAGTCAAACTTGTCAATGACATAAAGTGTTGGCACTGTTGGTAGTGATGATGGTGGAGTTGGTTTATTTTTTTACATTATTACATTTTTATTAGTTTAGTGAACAGTGAACGGGTGAAGAATTGGAGATAGTTCAAACAATTCAAACTAATTATGACGAGCAAATCAATTGACATATAAAAGAACAGCTACAACATCTTTACAATAACCAGATTGTCCTGCTTTGCAGGAACAAATACGAATCCATTGTTCTACAGGATTTCCTCTAGACCCCAACTTCAATTTTACTTCATGTGGAGAAGTTTTTATCGCCGAAGTTTGTAGACAAAGTGCAAAAATGTGCCTTTTGTTGAAGTCGTATGCCTCACGCAAAATCACATGCACAGAGAACTGCTTCCCCTTCCACTACTGGTCGGCTTTTTCCATCTAAATAGAGCAAAATATCTGCCAAAAGAACATCTAGAACAGGCATTATTAGCGTTTTCGATCGAATATTGACAATTAATATCAAGAAATTTAAAAACTTATTGCTCTTATCAGTACACAGTACAGTGTGTCCAGTTTTCGATGCTTTTGCATGATATCTCAGTTATCTTTGGAGATAGAACCTTGCGGTTTTCGCCGTCCTGTGCCACTTTTTTGTGATACTCAAGATGGCCTAATCAGATTTTGCAAGACTGGTTCCGTTTATGAGATACAGGGCGATTTTGAAAATTTATACTTTTTGGACCCCCTCTATATCTACGAAGTTTATCAGCGAAAATGTCAAATTAAAATCTTAACCCATAGAGAATTTCATACAGAATTCAGTGGCGCCCAAAAAAATTTTTTTCGGGGTTTGGTTTTGAAAATACGACTCAAACTTATGATTTTTTAAATTGAACACCCTGTATTTTATAGGTTCATTAAATTTCTTATTTTTTTTCCTTCGAAATGATATATGATGTATAAATATAACATCTTCAAAAATGTTAAAAAATCACTAAAACATTGAATTTCAATAGTGGGCTATGGGTTTTTCGAGGGACTTTCATATAAAGAAATTTACAATTGAAGGAATATTTCCTTTGATTGTTCCATGAAGGGGGAAATAACAATTTCAACACTAATTAACTTGCAATACACAAGACTCAGATACCTGATATCCACAAATATATAGTAATGAAAAATTTATAATGTAGAATAAGCACCTGAATTTCGAAATTATTCAGTGATTTATTCATCGAATTGTTCGAATTGATGTCCATTTTTCATCACAAACTTTCTCAATACATATCAATCATTAAAAGATGTCTTTGTAATTCCTGGAAAACTGCCTCTGTTGTTGCACAAAGTTCTTCAAGTATGTTGGGCCACTCACTGTATTAAGAAGTATTGAGAAAGTTTGTCAACTGTATGTTGGGGAAAATGGATATCAATTTGAACATGTCAATGAATAAGTTACTGAATAATTTCGGAATTCAATTATTTTAGTAAATATTCAATCAGGTGCCTATTCTACATTATGAACTTTTTATTACTATTTATTTGTTGCTATCAGGTACTCAAGTTTAGTGTTTTGTTAATTAATAAGTGTTGATATTGGTTTTGACCTTTCCATGGAAAAATTTAAAGAAATATTTCTTCAATTGGAACGTTTTTCATAAGAAAAATCCATAACCAACTATCAAAATTCAATATTTTAGTGATTTTGAGCAATTTTGAGAATCTTATATTCATTCGTTATATATCATTTTGAAGACAAAAAATAAGGAATTTAATGAGCTTATGAAATACAGAGTGTTCCATTTAAAAAATCATAAGTTTGAGTCGTATCTCCAAAACCATACCCCGAAAAAAAATTTAAGTGCGCCACTGGATTATGCGTGAAATTCTCTATGCGATAAGATTTTGATTTGACATTTTTGTTGAGAAACTTCGTGGATATAGAGGGGGTCCAAAAAGTATAATTTTTCAAAATCGCCCTGTATCTCATAAACGGATACAGTCTTGCAAAATCTGATTGGGCCATCTTGAGTTTCACAAAAAAGTGGCACAGGACCGCGAAAACCGCAAGGTTCTATCTCCAAAGATAACTGAGATATCAGGCAAAAGCATCGAAAACTGGACACGCTGTACACAAGCTAATGGCACTAATGGGATTGAGTCAATTGAGTGAGGATTGAGTTTGTTTTCCCCCAGTTTTGACGTAGCTTTGACAGGGAACGATGAAAACCGAGCGCCACCTGGTTACATTGATTCCCGCGAATATGAATTTCATGAAGACTGTTTATCATTCATCGTTATTCAAGGTGCCAAACAGCCCGTGTGCGAGCTGTGCCCTAACTCGGGTGGCATCTTCAAGGAAACCGACGTGGGCAAGTGGGTGCACCTGGTGTGTGCCCTCTACGTGCCCGGCGTGGCTTTCGGCGAGGTGGACAAGCTGACCAGCGTGACGCTGTTCGAGATGCCGTACAGCAAGTGGGGCGCCAAAAGCTGCTGTCTCTGCGAGGACGAGCGCTTCGCCAGGACGGGGGTGTGCATCGGCTGCGACGCCGGCATGTGTCGCACCTATTTCCACGTGACTTGGTGAGAGTTAGTGTTGCAACCGCTGAAAAGTTCGCTTGAAAAGTTGGTAAAATATTACGGAAAAGTTGAAAAGTTCCCTAGTACCTTGGAAAAGTTGAAAATTTTGTAATTTTAGTCCGACAGAGGCAGCTACTGTTCAAATGATAAAAGCGATATATATTGTATTCTCAATATATTTCTTAATATACAGGGTGTTGCGAAATTCGACCGACAACGCTTGACAGGTGATAGCCCTCGTGATTTCATAATCACTGAGATAGGAACATACGGTCTTTAGGTGTTCAGTTCTCGAGATACAGGGCGTTGAAGTTGAGAAATTCCGGCATGTGATAACGAGTTGAAACAAAAATCAAATGAAAAGGAAAAACATCTGATTCGATATCTTGTTTTGAAGTTTCCAATATCCTAATTAGTTTTGGAGATATTGGGTGATGAAAGCGTGAAATAGTCCATAGTCAATCACCCTGTACAGGGTGGCTGGAATTCGAGCCTCATTGGGATCTTGTCAACCGTAATAGATACAGGGTCGGTTGAATTATGGAAAAGTTGCGCAATTTTGTTCTTAACAAAATGCCTTTTTGAAATTTAAAAAATTCCGAATGGTTCCAAAGAAGTAGACCAAGCCGATCCGTTCTACGCCCATTGCAAACTGCATTCATACAAAAGTAGATATCCCAGCTCTTCAGTCCAACCCCACTCCTCCACTGTAACTCGTTGAATCTACAGTGAGGGGCAATATTATGGCCATCTCGACCAGAAATGATTTGCTAACTTCTGCGCAATGGTCCATTGCTTCTTTAAATTGACTTCATCACTTCCTATAGTTGGACTTCCTGATGACCTACCAATCAAAAAGTGGTTTGGGGTGATGTAATCCGGATCATCGGGATCTTCAAAAATCCAAGTTAGAGGTCGGCTATTCAATGAATGTTCTATCTCCACAAGAAGTGTGTGAAGAGTCTCTTCTTTCAGCACAGGTTTCTTCACAACTACCTTCAACGCAACTTTCACAGACTTGATGAGTCTCTCCCAGGCCCAGCAAAATGAGATCCTGTTGGTGGCAGAAAATGCCGAGTTATTCCTTTCATAGTTAGTTCTCTTAATATTCATTCTTAATCCAAGTTGTCTAATGCCATTCTAATTTCTTTGTCAGCTCTTCTTAAAAGACACCGCACATTTAGTACGGGAAATGGCTTCCGGCTAATCTCTCTGAAAATTTGACATGTTCTATATATTATTTCATTTTGAGATTCTTCCTGGTGAGCTGATTTCAACAATCCATCATACTTGGGGTCTAGCAGTTATAATTACTGAGATATAGGGTGTGAGAAATCGAGATTTTCCAAGTTCAAGAATTTTTTGTGTCTATACCATTCATAATTGGTCAAAACGGCTCACATGTCCCTATCTCAACTTTTGATCAACTATCTACTCACATTTAATTGAAACAAATACAGGGTGGTGCAGAATTCAGAATCTTGATCACCCGGTATATGTCCCAATTAATTATCAGTAGATAGTTTATCAAAAGTTTAGATAGGGACATGTGAGCCGTTTTGACCAATTATGAATAGTTTCGACACAAAAAATTCTTGAACTTGGAAAATCTCGATTTTTCACACCCTGTATTTCAGTAATTATAACTGCTAGACCCCAAGTATGATGGGTCGTTGAAGTCAGCCCATCAGGGAGAATCTCAAAATAAAATAATACACAGGGTGTTCGATAGAAAAAACTTTAACTTCAGTGTTTTATGGTTTTTGGGGACACCCTGTATGTTTCGAAATAATTTTAAATGGTAGCCTATGTTGACATGTAACTTCCTAGAGAGGAAGAATTCCAAGAAGATAAGTGGTTAGCCTTCTAGAGACCGAGGCGTTACTGGTGGCCCACCCTGTATATTTGAAGTGGAAAATAAAATGTCTCATGAAATACCCCCACCAATTCCCAGTCATAACCACCCCAACGCATATCATTTCAATAGTAGCACCTACTTGTTATACCTCATTGAATAGCTCGGTGAAAATGCATTCCAGTGGTATTATTCATAACTCGGACTGGGTAAACTAACAAAAAATATCCATTCGATCCCTATATCATTGCTTCTTCCTTCTTTCTAATAGTCGCATTTCTATTTTTTCCTTTTCTTCTTCGATTTCATGATGTTTTGTTTGAGCTTCAATTTCAGCCTGTTGTTTCATTCTTCTAACAGTTGAACTTTTTGATGTTGAAGAGTTTTTACTTTTATCTGTAAACCCTTCCGATATTTTTCAATAGTTGTTTTCTTGACTTCTGTCATAATTTTTCTTCCAGATCTCAGGGTTTTTGAAATACTTCCTTCAGAAGACATTCTTGTATCTCTTCTACTGGATTCTGATTAGTAGAAGGACTAATGTAACTCGTTGAATCTATATTTCCTATATTATTATCTCTGTTGTAGACCAAATAAATCGAGCGGTACTGACAAAACAAATCAAAATATAATTATTAACTTCACTCATTCCTCCATAAAACGGTATGTATTCAAAATATATAACATTTTTCTCCAAACCACGTGCCTCGGCTAGCCAATCAGAGGCCATTTGGTTGGAGGCCACGCCCACTAACCGCAATCTACATCCGGCTACAACGAGCGAGCTAACCGCAAGCTGCTGATAAGAATGGAAATAACACAGCTACAATAACAAGATGAAGTATGATATACAGGCTGGATCCGAAAAACCTGTTCAGAGAAAAAAAATTGAAATGTATAATGATTAACAAATCACAATTAGTAGATTACAGCCAACATATCACGTATGACATATGACATTCGACAGATGACAGCTCACATATGATAGATAATATAAGCCGTCAATGATACTTCTGGTGCTCATTGAGACTTGATGCTCTGGTTCAACTAACGTTTGACGTATGACATTCAACAACTGACGTATACCACGTGACCTTCCGGTACTCGTCGAAAGCAGGCACTCAATCCGTCGAAACGGCTAACGGCTCAAAGTGGCGCTCAAATGACGATACGTATGATGTTTGACAGATAACGTATACCACGCGACCTTGTGGTACTCGTTGAAAGCAGACACGCAGGGTCGACATAACCTACGACCTTGAACCAAAAGGGCTATCGATTCAAAATGGCACTCAATAACTGACGATACGTATGATGTTTGGCAGATGACGTATGCCACGTGACCTTCCGGTGTTTGTCGGAAAAAACACTCAGGGTTGACACAACCTACGAATTGCTATCAAAATTGCTATCGATTCAAAATGGCGCTCAACAGATACCATGTGAGACGTTTGGACTATTTTTTATTGCTTCACCGATTGCAAACGCCTATATTCAGCGCAGCCAATGCACACTACATATACTTCCGATACCATTAACCTCGTCAAAACAGATATTAAGGTTCAACATAACCTACGAATTTCAATAAAAATGGCTACCGATTCAAAATAGCTACCAATTCAAAATGGCGCTTAACTGACGATACATATGATGTTTGACAAATGACGTATATCACGTGACCTTCCGACTCAGGTCCGACATTACCTACAAATTTCAATAAAACGACCATCAATTCAAAATGGCGCTAAAATTAGGTGAAACAGAAGCAGAGATTACGATTTCCTGTCTGGACGATATATTTCCGCTGTGTGTGATTAAAGTTCAAATAACAATATTTCTCTCTATAGGAGTATTATTTCAATCTTCATTTGTGTTAAACATGTGATTCTGTATGTGTTTTCATTGCCAAAAAAACTGTGTGTGTGTGGAAAGTGCATGGAAAAACGAGATAATGTAGCGGCCCTTACTGCATAGGTGGATGCTACCCGCTCATTTCTGGATATAGCTGTTTTTCAATGAAATTGGTAAGTTGCTTAGTTTTCTGCTTTTCAGCCGATAAAGGCATCAGTCTTGGATTGGAAGATATTATTTTAAAGGACACAAAAAACTATAGTTATTAAAAAGCATTGTTTCTCAGCAGCGATATCATTTTAGTTCATCAAAATTACTTATAAATGTCTGAATTACAGAAAGTCATTGGTTTGAGTTGAGCAATTTTGAAAATGCTTAGCATGTATTTTGGGCAATAAAAACAACAGAGGCCAGTTCACAACATCACCAATAATAATCGAATATTTGCAAGAAATCTGTGTATAATAATAACTTGATGTACAAGGCGTTTCGTGAAACATTAGTATTTTCTTTTTTTTACATTTTTCTAGAGTTCCACAAACAACAGAAATTGAATTTTATCTAAATATAGGGTTTCGTGAAACATTTGGATTTCCAGTTTTATATTTTGTTAGATTCCATCTAGCGAAAAAAACATAAATCTGAAATAGGATTTTATTCAGATACAGAGTGTTCCGTGAAACATTAGGATTTCCAGTTTTATATTTTTCTAGATTTCAGCTAACGAAAAAAGCATTCATCTGAAATAGTATTTTATTCAAATACAAGATATTTTTCTTGAGTTCCGATAACAACAGAAATTGAAGATTATTCAAATACAGGGTGTTTCGTGAACCATTGAGATTTTTTCAGTTTTGTATTTCGCTAAATTTTCAGCTAACAAAAGAAGTAGGAATTTTATTTCCATTCAGAGTTGTCTCTGTCGTATATACAGGGTGATTAAAAACAAATATTTCCGAACGATGATTCGTTTGTTAAAACTGACATCTTCAGTATCCTTTTTTTACATAATGTTATGAAAACAAGTCAAAACTAGGATTTGAGAGTGCACAGTATTGGACATTTGTTTGTTTCGGCTTTTGTTTGAAAAGTTTACCAATTGCAAATTATAAAGTATACTGAATATTTCGGCCTTAAGAAAAAAGTTTTTCGATTACAAAGTATACAGGATGTTGAGATTTTCTCAAAGGTGCTTTAGAAATACCTGATTGTCCACTTTGGAACTTTCGATTTTATGCCTTGATTTTGATCGAAACTGTCAATATATTTAGTGAAGAAATTCAATAGGTCAATGAAA